AAAGTGACGTGGAGCAGAGAGAGAGATGGAACTAAAGTTGACATACTTACAGCTGATGGTGACAGAGAGACAAGACACATTAAGGATCCAGGCAGAAGATACGGTTCACAGGCAGATAAATCACTTTACATTGGTAGAGTTAACATCTCAGACACTGGAAGATACTTGTGTAATAATGAACCAGCTGTGGAGCTGACGGTGATCCCATCAGGTAACATCAGACTTTTCTCTTCATGTCTCTGAGCTAAATGTTTCCTTTTTATTAAACTTTTACATATTAATGAAATGGTGGATTTCAAATGTAAATGTGTTTTTTAGGTTTCAGTTTCATCCATCAGTAGATTGGCAGGAAGAGAAGGGAATTCATTTTTTATATTTACTTCCTGGTACTGTAGTTGAGTTTTGGTGAACGTCTGCAATTCTGATTTTATGTCTCTAAATCTGAAATTAAATACATTATATATGTATACAACTATCTCTGACCTCATCTGCACATCTCTCTAACACCTAATTCAGGTGCAAATTCAGACTTCATCCTGAATCAGTGTGATAAGTTTATGATGAAATTATAAAATATGAGTCCTGTTTTGTTTGCTGTGTACACGGAACAACCAGACTTTGATGCTGCAAGAAGGACCACCATCACCTTTGAAATGTCCTCCTGATGTGGAGGATCAGATGTTCCAACATGGAGCAGAGACACTACCCTGTTGAAATTACAACAAACAGAGTTTCATGTTCACCTGCTGACAAACACGTTGATAATAACAGACCTGCAGCCTGCTGACTCTGGACTTTATTACTGTGATGGGAAACCTTGCTGTATATCTGACTGCTGACAAAGTGAGACACTAGAGAGTAGAAAGTGACAGAATAAGCAGCTGCTGTATGCCACCACTATACACATATAATGTGTGGTCAAAATCTGCTAGTTAACAACACTGAGAGATTCAGACTTTATTACAAAATCGACTTTAACTCACGTAATTCTAAACCTGAATTTGGTTTGTCATAAACATGAGAAATTGAACCTGACACTGGTTGGAATTAATTTGCATATCTAATGACACACACAGATACAGATACAGTTGCTCTGAGCTCTGTGTGTCTAAGAGCCTCAATGCAGCCATCAGTTCTAACCTTTAGATACAGAATCTACTGGTTGTAAATGATGCAGTTGACATTAACATACTGCCTACTGCATTCATTCTGCCGTACAAAGCGGCAGCAACATCAACGACAAAAGGTACTCCTACAGCAACAGTCATTGTTTGGGATCAATGTAAAGATTGCAGTCTGGTGCTTCAGCCGTCTAAAGCAGTCAGAACC